AGTCTATTTGTATTTGGCAAAATTAAAGAAAATATTCTATCTATCCTATATTTGTGAGTCTAAAGTTTCATATCTAATTTATCTTTTATCATAACTAAGGAAAATTATAATTACAACTATCTAGTCTTCAACTACATCAAAGATCTCAGAAGGAAATAATATTATCTGAATAAACAGGAAGAGCATTGTAAGTAACTTCCAAAACTCTAGAATGACAGAGACAGCTGGCTACCTGGACAGTCACTCAAAGGTCTGCAATCTTGGGGCATTCATTCTTCAGCCTATAGGCCTAGAGTCTCTCAGTCGCTTCTCTCTGTGTCCTGTAAAATGTCTTGCAGTTTCTTCTGTGAAGCATCAACCTGAAAGACCATTTCACCTTGCAAAGTTTAGTCTCCTGCCTATGAGTCCTGCATGTTCAGTTGATAAAACATACTGTCAAGCAGTTAAGGCAAGAACACTTTTATTGCCCAGTGGCTAACTTTTGCCACAAAGAAAGCAAACTGAATAATGAGTTTCTTCAATGCCCATCATCTTCTGTGATATATTTGGTGCTGCCAGGAGCAGATGTATCTCATTGTCCAGAAAAGTCTACATTCTTCAAACATTTCAAATGCCATATTCTGTAGGTCTTTGAAGTGTTTGAAGATGATCTACCTAACTGAATTATAGCTATGTATACCTAGAAAACTTAACTAACATGACTATAAGTCTATCATAGATGAATAATTATTAATCTGTATTTCTTAATTATACATTACAATTTCAATGAGCTGCACAGGCATAATATCTTAAACAAGAGTAGAAATATACATACATTATAACAAAAATTAACTTTAAATTTGTATCAATAAACTGAACTCCATAGCAATGTAAAATATTTTAAGCAAGTTGTTGCTCTTTAAAAGTAGATTCAATAATCTACCCTTTCATCCTATCATATCTGTATCCTATCCCCCTTTTTTTCTTTTAGAAATATATTGACTGTGACCAGTAACAATTTGTAACCAATCTCTAACAAAGACAAATATCCATAATCCATTTTGGGGGGCAATGTGAACATAGTGTTCTACACTACTTCCTGCTGATAGAGAGAGCTGGTAGTCTTATAGGGATCCTGAGAAAATTTGAGATAATGGTCAATCTTGGGATGACAGTCTATAACCTTTGTTGATAGGCATCATAGGTTAAGGTTCAGGAGTTCTGGCTTGATCAAATCTTATCCACCTTAACCTGGAACAAATCCATAGCCTCTTGCATTCTATGGAAACCAAAATAGAGCCTCATTTCCAAAGCAACATATACTTAGATCTAAATTTTGAAATCAAGATATCTTTAAAATATACATATTGGTTTAACTTTAAAATCAAATGGGTTTCTGCTGTTAAAAATCTCAAAGACAATATAATCCAGACTCTCTGTGTGACTTTATGTGGTTTATTTTTATATTACTTTTACTGTCTCTTTAAACACTTTATTGTTTAAAATTATTTCTTTATATAACTGTCTATATTCATTTTCTTTTCTCTTCCAAGCCTATGTACATTTTTACACACACTATAAACCATTTAAAGTCTTGTTCCATCTGAATCTGCCATATTGTGAATTTATTGCTCTAAACTGCAGCATTACTAGAACTGAAATGGCAGCTTTGGCTGCTGGCTCCACCCACCTCAGCTTTCTAAAACTACATTTATCACCAGCTCTGGGGGAACCATGATCATCACTGAGTCTGTGAAGAAGTGGGTCTATGCTTCCATCTAGTAGCATGTAGCCCAAAAAACTTTTCTTTCTTTCTTTTTCTGTCTGTACTAGCAAAGGCTAAATCCACCACACACCACACTGTGCAGCTCAGCCATGCTGCTTAGCTCATGGTGATGGTGGCCAGCTCCATCACACAGGCAGCTGTCAGGAGATGAGTTTGCACTGCTGCTGGCATGAGATTGTGAGACTAGGAAGCCCAGTGTGGCTCTGTTTCTGTACATTCAGAATCTTTAAACTTCCTTAGGTCTAGATGGCTCAATGCCCTATGCAGTTGGGTGCCAAATGCAGTCAGAGGTTTTCCTGTGTCCTGCCTGGTCCTTCAGCTGCTCAGACATAAGCAAACACATAGAGGCTTATATCAATTACAAATTGCATGGCCAGTGGCTCAGGCTTCTTGTTAGCTAGCTCTTACTTTTAAATTAACCCATAATTCTTATTTATGTTTAGCCATGTTGTTTGGTACCTTTGCTCAGTTCTGCATTTACATCTTGCTTCCTCTGTGTCTTGCTGGTGACTCCTGATTCAGCTCTTTCTCTTCCCAGAATTCTCCTTATCTCCTTGCCCCACCTATACTTCCTGCCTGGCTACTGGCCAGTCAGCATTTTATTAAACCAGTGTATAAAACCATCACTGAAGTGGGTTTGCAATCCATAAAAGGTACAGAGCCCATTTCTTTGAAGGCAGCTGAACAGGCAGTAGACCGATGGCTTCTGGTATGCAGTGGGACAGTCACAGAAATAGTTATTCTTGAAAGAATAACTAGGCTAATGGAATCTAACCTCTCAATGGTAGACTGGCATTTAATTAAGGAGATGAAACCACCCACAAGACAAGGAGAATAAGCAGCTGAATTCCAAAAACACCAGCAATTTCCAAAAATTAAAATCCTGATTCATGACAGGACACTGGCAGAATTCTAGTTTATTTGGCACATGGACTACTTGCATGGAATGTGAGGTTAAGCTGTAGGCCTTGTGTACATCCTACTTCACAAATTAGTCTGTCATATATGCTAAGCCTATAGGCTGAAGATGATGTCCCATGTTTCAGAGAAACCTCTAGTGACTGTCCAGGAAGCTGGCTGTTTCTGTCAACTCACATTTTTTGGAAGTCACTTGTTTACACTTCCTATTTTACTAGGTAATATTATTTTCTTCCTGGGTCTCTGAGGGAGTTGAAGATTAGATAGTTGTAGTAACAATTTTCCTTGTTAATAAATTCAGAAATGAAACTCACTAAGGAGGTGTAAAGTGCATAAGTTTGAAAGCCATAAGATAGTTTTCTGTTGGTACTACAAGATAGGATAGAAAGTGAATCAGGTACATTTTGGACTCACCAAAATAGGATAGATAATGAAATATTTTCTGTGAGTTTGTCAATGCTAATAGACTCAACATTGTTGATGTATTTATTGCTTGTATATATTGTATATAATTATTGTACTTATTGTATATTGTTTTTCTTACATTAGTTATAACTTTTTTATTTTTATTAGACAAAAGGGGAAATGTGGTAATATTTTATTTGTGCTGAAATATGATGATATTTTATTTGTGTTTTAATTAAGTGTGCCTGGAGATCAGAGGAAATAGCAAGCCATTTTATGTAAACAAAGAATTTAGGCAGCAGTAGCATGCATTCTTAATTCTATTACTTAGTAGACAGGGTCTCTGTATGTTCAAGATCACACTAGGGAACAGAGCCAAGCATGGTGACACATACCCTTAATCCCAGTACCAACCATAGAGGTCTGGAGGTTTGTATAGACAGAGAAAAAGTGACAGAGCTGTGTAGAAAGAGGAAGTGAGGCAGCAGGGCTAAGAGAGCCAATGACAGGGCAGAACAGCAAGGCAATGAAGGCATAGGTAGACAGGAAGCAACTCGCATTTGGAAGCTGCAGAATTGGTGAGGTAAGGTTGGCTGGTGGCTTTTCCTATTTCCCTGATCTAAGGCTTTCACCCCTATATTTGGATCTGTGTTTTCTATTTAATAAGACCATTTTAGAAATTCAGCTACACTTCCTTTCTTTCTTATTGCCCAGTGTCCTAGAATAGTCCAACTCCTCCTAAATCCAGATTCAAAACCTCAAGAAAATGTCAAACTTTGGGACTCAGAAATGTTGGTGCCAACAGCCATGTAATGAAATGTGTTCTCTCCATTTCAGGAATGACTTCATGTTCAAATGCTAGCAGAGGGGCAATGTGATATGTAGTTGACAAATAGGTTCTATCTTAACCAATTAGAACAGTCAGTCAAAGACTTGGTTAGTCAATGATAATGAGAAAATACACAAGCATGGTGGTATACATTTGTAATGTCAGCATTTTGATTATTTAGGCAGGAAATCTTGAGTTGAGGACCATTCTGAGGTACATTATGAGAACTTTGCTCCAGTGAATAACTGCATAAACAAAAAAAATGAAAAGATGATGAGTAATCATTAAGAATTCAACAGAATTGACTCAAAAATATCACTTTTCAAAGAACATAAGAGACAAGCTTTAGTATCTGCAGTATAGTGTGGCTGATAGGCTCCTAGCACTATAGCAAATCTATTGTATGCTTAGTAACTTCCTTATAAACACTGAACTCAAATCCACAGTCTCTCATGAAAGTCATTTTAAAATATACTAGCATTTGCTAGTGGATTAGTAGATTCTGTGCTTAAAATTTGGGGTATTTCTGTTTCAGAGGCTTTTGTTTTTGTTTTTGTTTTGTTTTACTTTGCTCTGTTCTGTTCTGATTTGTTTTGTTTGATATATGGTTTCTCTGTTTAGCCTTGGCTGTCCTGGAACTCACTCTGTAGGCCAGGCTGTCCTTGAACTCATGGAGATCCTCCTACTTCTGCCGCCCAAGTGCTGGGATTAAGGCATGCACCCCCACCACCCATCGAGTTCATATTTCTTTAACAAATACACCTGAAAGTAGACACACAAACAGATATGGTTTGCTGACTTTTTCCTCTGATAGAATGTCATCTTTATCCTCACACTGAAAGCTATAGGTAAAATGAAGAGCCAGTGCAGGTATAGAGGAAGTCTGGTAAACACTTTAGAGTAAATACTGCAGGAAATTTAATGTAATTCCTAGCTGGAAGTAGGTTTGTTTTGTGGTTGTTGTTTCTCGTAGTACCAATGGACTTCTATCATCCTATCTCAAAAAGCATTGAAATTCTTCTTTCTGAGTGTTATCATCACAGGGTATGATAGACTGAGTCAAGACAATTACCTTCAGTTTAAGGCCAGCATGGGCTATATAACAAGTTTCAGGCCAGTCTGGATACAGCATAAGACCTTGAAAACAAGACAAAATAAAGCATTACCATTCAACCGTACTTACCTGATCCTATAATATTAAAGGCTAGACGTACAATGGACTTTTGAGATTCCCATTCATCTCAATATTTCCAATCTTCCACAGATACTTCTTCCTGAAACCTGCACTGGTCTTCCTGACCAGAGCTATACAGAAGTTTAGAGACTAATTCAAGGACGACTAGTTATTAAAAGTATAGGGCTAATTTTTCACACTGATTCCTAAGTCCATCCATGGCCCTAGCTCATTCAAATATTAATAACTTCGACTCAAGGGCAATAGGTGATATAGATGCAAATTCTAAACCAGGCAGTGTAGTGTAAACTCCATGGCCTAAATGAATCAATTTTATGATCTGAAAATAAAGTGCTGGAGTTTTTCTGAGTTGGCTACTGACTTCTACTGATTTTCACACCCCTCCACAATTCAAACTAGAACTATCAAAGTGTTGGCATTCAGGGAGGAAAGTTTCCGAGGAAAGTAGTCTGGGTACTCACAGTAATGTCTCCATAGATGTCCAAGTAGCAGCTTTATTGGCAGTTTCAAAGCAACATTTTGGACAGGCCCCAAAGCAAGCGATTCTGTAAAGCGAGATTCAAAGTCTGATCAAATTGATGAGGCAGCTACATGTTGACTTCACTGTGACAAGCCTGTGTGAAGAAAGCATCAAGAAAATAACACAGCTTACATTTATTCCTGGCAACAGTGAGCTTTGTAACAAGTGCCAGTTATTTTCTGGAAGATGCCTGCAATTGGAAAATTCTTCTTCAAGAGAAATTGTAATTTCTTTATGCTTAGGATAAGCACTTTTCTCACCCCGAACTGGGGTCAAAGCACACCTGGAATTAAAATTTCTAGCATCTATTATGTCAGTTAACTTTCTAGGGACACTAGTCATTTTATCTTCATATTAACAAATAAGAGGAATAAGGATTTCAGCAGTATACTTAGCATCACCTTTAGAAATATGGTAAACTGGCCACCACCAAATCCAGCTTTCTCATGGGAAAGTGACCTTAAAGAAAATTCACATCATACTTTCAATTCTGCCCCATTCCTCCACCGCCACCACTATTAATCCTTAAGGTAGCATTCATTGCATTTATTAATTAACCTTTAGAAGATTAAAGTGCTCTAAGGATAGTTTTCAATTAAAATATGAATCAAATCAACTGTCTCAGTGGTAGATTTTAGCTCAATGTTATAATTGCACTGTTTCTTTCTCATTTACGCCAGTCTTCCTCTCCACTCACTCTTTAGAGACTGTTTTTTATATACTCTTCCACCTTCCTGGAAGAACCCCTTCTTCCTCTAAATCCTGTCTGCTGCCATCCTGTACTGTTTGTAAGGAATCTTGCTTTAGACATGCTCAATCTCATAAACTGAAGTTTTTATGAACATGTTTGGAATTTATGCAGTTTGGGGGACTCTACTATATTGAGAAAGAAGGTGCCACCGGTAATTCCATGTAGTCTTATAAGATGATAATGTGTTTCTAAAACCTAGTACTTGGATAGCTATCATCATTTAAGTGGTTAAACATCACCCAAGCAGTCTTAGCAGAAAATTAGAGAAACAAAAATATAAGCTTTAGTAACTGATGCCTTAGACCAGTTGTTCTCAACCTTCCTAATGCTGTGACCCATTAATACATTCCTCACCTTGTGGTTATTCCAAAGCATAAAATTGTTTTTGTTGCTACTTCATAACTGTAATTTTGCTACTGTTGTGAATCATAATGTAAATATCTGTGTTTCCCAAGAGACCCTCTTGAAAGGGTGTTTTGAACCCCAAAAGTGTCACTATCCACAGGTTGAGAACGACTGCTTTAGACTAAGCTTTCATTCCTTGTACACCTGAGACACCAGGTAATTGCCAGAGGCTCTTCAAAACTCAAGTTTCTCATCTTTGAATTGAGGGGTATTGTCACAACATAACTGTTATCATTTTATGAGAAGTTGCAATTCCTGCCATATAATTAAGACCACTACCTGTTTACCATTTATGTGCAGTTGATAAATCATGACATCCTCTCTCCATACCTGCATCTCTGTGTCTCTATATCTCTCTCCCTCCTCCCCACCATCTGTGTGTTTCTGTCTCTGTCTCTGTCTCTCTGTCTTTCTTTCTGCTTCTCTGTCACACGCACACACATTAGAACAATGTAGGGATGATGTACTGAAAATCTGGACTTGGGATATCAGCATTGGCTTCCTGCAACTAGCACTGTACTAACATTAGAGATATGGTAATTATAATGATAATCATTTCCACAGCCAGCATAAAGAAATCTATTTTTCCAGCAAATTTATAATCTCCAGATTCTGTTACAGATTAACAGCATTAGGGAAGAGGTGAGCCATTTGGTTTTCAAACTATGAAATGTTTGGTGAAGAGCTCTAGGTGACCTAGTATTCTTTTACCCAACACTCTGCTTTATATAATGTCATACAACAACTATTTAATAGCATGTTTATATCCTAAACAAAGAAACAAACCTACAAACACCAATTTAGAGAATATTGATTTAGAGAATTGGAACTTTCTTGGAAATAATTTCAAATGTAATATATTATTTTTGAATTCTGATATGACCCCATGACTGGTAGAATTTTTGTTTTAATTGTTAGAGAGTTATTAATTTTGTTCATCCTTGTACATAACAAAGTTTGCAGTAGCATATAGCATAAGAGGAGTCAATGTGATGGGTCAATGGGCAAAAAGCACTTGCCCTGCAAGCTACCAACCTGAGTTTAATACCTGGCACCCATCTAAATATGGGAACACAGAATAGACTCCAAAACATAGTCAAGTGATCTCCAATTGCAAGCTGTGGCACAAACCCACAGTAAATAATATAATAAATATAATATACACATGTGTTGCTTCTGTGATAAGAGAATGATCAATGTTTGGATGAAGGTTCTGGATAGGAGGAGCATATTAAATACGTAAGAATTGGGAAATGGTGCTTAACTGTGTAAGCTACAACATAGCAGATATTGATGTGTGATTCACAATGAAAATTATATTCTGACTGGAACAGCAAGCACATGTTTGTATTCTCACATATTAATAAAGGTGAACTGGCAGATGAATTTGTCAAAATACCTTAAGCAGATAACAATTTTGTTCCCAGTTAAGGAATGAGCTGGTATTTTGAAGCACAGCTATAGTGTTATTCACAATAACCAAAACATTACATGAACAGATAAATGGATAAGAAAATGTGACATAAATATGTGATAGAAGTATGTTCAGCCAGAGGGAAAAAAAGAAATTTCATTATTTTTGACAACATGGAGATATTTGGAAGATTTCATATTAAAGGAAGAAATCCAGACATTTAAAAAAAGGAAAAAATCTTCTACATATTCTCTGTGTGAAGAAACATTAAACGAATAAGATGATGAATATGCTAATTATCTGAATTTTGTCATTATGCAACGAATTTATGAATCTAAACATCATATTATACTCTATTGATATGCAAACCTTTTTATGTGCCAGTCAAAACTAAAAGGATTGCTAGTGTACAGAAAGAAGCAGACTCTGCCTACTTCCTGAGTTATAACCATTTTTTTCAAAACTAATTCTCAAGTTCCTAGCAACTCAGTCAAAAAAGTATGGATGTTAAGGCCTATACTATTAATCCAGTAACTATTTGAATAAATCCTTTTCAGTGGATGACCTTCTCCAAGTGATAAATCACATCATTTTTCAGGAAAAGTATCAATTGTGACCTTTTGGGAAGATGCAAGTTTGAAATGATAAGATAGCTTAATAGGAAAATACACATGCACAAACAAACAAACAAAAAACTTGGTTAAGTTCCTCAAAACCAAAAGTTGAGAAAGATCTTCAGTGCTTATAAAACTTGTGACACATAGTCATGGTCCACTAGAATACAATCATCAAAACCACATACTGAACACTCAGAAAAAAATAATTATAAAATGATTTGGGTCTCTTCACATATTTCTTCTAAACAAATAACAGTAATTACTTCTATGCACTCTGAAAACTACTTTAAAAAGCCTCTTTTCCCACTAGATTACACAGTCAAAATTCTACATAAAAATAATATTCTATGAAATAAATAAATGGGGAAAACAGTAGCTGCTCTTCCCCAATTTCTTCCTCTCCTTCTTGTTTCCTCAGAGGCTTCTTTGGCAAATGAGAGAATAAAAATGATTAGAAAAAGCAGAGAAAGCTCTCTTTAATCTTCATGGGGGAATTGCCAAAAGAAACAAAATTAATCCTTTCTATTTAGCAATCTCCAAAATATATAAAGATATCAAGAAGCTAGACATTCAGGATACAGATCTAAACAGAGAATTCTCAACATAAGAATCTCAAATGACTGAGAATCACCTAAAGAAATATTCAACATCCTTAACAATCATGAAAATGAAAATAAAAAAATGACACTGAGATTCCACCTTACACTTGTCAGAATGCCTAAAATCAAAACCACAAGTGACATCTCATGTTAGCAATGATGGAAGCAAGGGGAACACTCCCCTGTTTCTGGTGGGAGTGCAATCTTCTACAGCCACTAGAAAAATCAATATGGCAGTTCCTCAGAAAATTGGGAATCGATCTACTTCAAGACCCAGCTATACACTCTTGGGAATATACCCAAAAAAAGCTCCATCCTACCACAAGGACACTTGCCCAACTATGTTCATAGAAGTTTTATTAGTAGTATCCAGAAGCTGGAAACAACCTAGCTGTACCTCAAATGAGGAATGGATAAAGAAAATGTGGCACACTTACACAATGGAATATTGCTTAGCTGTTAAAAATAATGACATTGGAAAATTTGCTGGCAAATGGATGGAGCTAGAAAAGATCATCCTGACTAGTTTAACCAAGACCTAGAAAAACAAACAAAGATGCTACATACTCACTTATAAGTAGATATTAGCCATAAAGTAAAGGATAGCCATGCTACAATCTAGAAACCCAGAGAAACTAAGTAAAAAGAAGGGCTCAAGAGGACAGTGACACATGAATCTCACTGTGAAGAAGAAAGAGAATAGACATTGCTGTGTGATTGAGGAGGGGTTTGGATGGAGGTGTGGGGATTCGAACAGGAGGGATCAGATTGGGAGAAGATGGAGGGAGGGAGTACCGGAAGAGACAGCTGGTATCTGGGAGCATCTCTAGAATGAGCTAGAAACCTAGTGTGATGGAAACTCCCAGTAATTTACAAGGGTAGCTCTTGCTAAGACTCCTAGAAAAGGGGGATACAGAGCCTTAACCAACCATCTCCTGTAGCCAGGCAAGTTTTTCAGTGGAGGAATTGGGATACCAACCCAGGCATAAAACATTTGACCTACATTTGTTCTGCCTACAAGATGTGCTGGGGAAAAGGTGGAGCAGAAATTGTGGGAGTGGCAAACCAATAACTGATGTAGCTTGAGATTCATACCATGAGAGAGACAACCCTGAGCACCAAGAACCATAGACAAGATAGCCCAGAGACCTACGATAGGACTAAAGAGGACTGGCAAAAAAAAAGTAAGTGAAATGATTTGTGATGATATTCTGCTATACACTAAGATTAGTGCCTAGCCCAATTATTATCTGAGAGGTTTCATCCAACAACTGATAGAAACAGATGCAGAGACCCACTGCAAAACAT